TCCAGAGTTCAAGTTACTTATTATAAAAGTTTGAAATTTCTGGTAGCTTTTTTTCTGTTAATAAAAATAAATTTAATCTGTTCGGTTAACGAATCTCCATAAAATGACGTGTAAAATTACAATTTCTTAAAATTTCAATAACTTTTTAACGGCTTAGTGAATCGATTTGTATTTTTTACAGGAGTTTTAGAATTAAATGAGGAACGTTCTTCCAAATTTTTATTTGTCTCGTAGCATTTTGACATACCTCCTAAACATCCTTAAATGCAAGAGATAACCTGATAAAGAGGCGAATACTAATATTCCATCTATTATATTGTGAATGTGCACCAAATATGCATACATTATATTTAAACATAGGATTTCACTGTCGGAATCCATGCATAGATTAAAATTTACTTTATGTTTAATTTCTAGGTGACCGAACTACCATTATTCCACTGGACAGGGCACGATTCCGCCCCACGGTTAAAAGCTATGGTACGATTCCGCCCCGATATTTTGTGGTCATTAAAATCTATGGAACGATTCCACCCCGAAGAGATACATAGGTTAGTACATAAGCTTTATATAATTTCGATGTAAAGTAAACATTCAAACAAACTTTAGAAGATTTTTTGTATTATGTTATTCTAAAAATAATAATTTTTGTTGTATTTTTTATTGTTACATTTCTTAACAATGTGTAGACTATTTAGATAACCATATACGTGGTTTTGAATATCTTTTAATACTTGTAAAAATAGATTTATATTAGGATGTTCTTGATAAAATGATTTGTTGAACCTTGAATGAAACGATTTGCAGTCGTTTGTGATCAATTTATTTGAGGCTGAATTAGTAGCTCACAATTTTGGTGGAAATTTAGAATCATCTAGTATATAATTTTCTAACAAATAATCGGAAAATTCATCAACCTTTTGATTGATGTTTTTGCATTTAAAAAGGAATAAATGTTATCATTCGTTCCAGGAAGTGGTGGTAACACTGAACGTTTTGCGTAGTATATTATGCGCTTTCGGATGTTATAATATCAGTTGTTAAGTTTTTCGAAGCAATTAATTTAAGACCACTACAAATTTTAGCTTTTCCGTAATGTCGTATACGGCTTTTCTTTTTCATCCGTTCGAAATCGCTTGTTGACAAATATTTCTGTCCACTTCATGGTTGTGATTACTATTTTCTCTTAAAACACTAGTTTTTCGTTCGTCACAAATCAAAGATGCACTACACTCTTTTTTTATGCACCGGTATCTTAGACCTAAAGATATCTTTTTAAATAGAATTAATTCTTTTCCTCTTTTAGTTAAAATAATATCCATATTCCACATATGACAACAAACCGTTTATTTGAAAACTTTATTATCAATTGTTGTCTTATACCCCCAGAGAACCCCCTAATAAATTATTTGCTAATTGCAAAGTTCAAACTAATTGATGTACTGTTGACAAATAATATTCAATTCTCTACTCTAATATGGTAAATTTCAAATATAGGATTATCTATTGTCTGAGATTATTTAATTTTTTAATTACCTTAATTAGAAACACATTAAATTCGTACAGCCTCGTGTTCTATTTGTATAATTTTTGAAGATAATATTTCTTTACCTTAGATGCTTCTATGTACAATCGGGGCGGAATCGTACCATCATTAAAAATTTACCTGGTGATTTTGTTGACCGCGGGGTAGAATCGTACCATACCGATTCCACTGTTAGAGTGAAATTAAATCATTAAAATTTCATATTTATTTCAATTAGAAAACGAAGGTTAGTTGATTTCCGTAGTTTTCAAGTTTTTTCCGTTCATATCGTTTATAATGATGATGATGAGAGCCTGAGAGTATCCTTCTGTTTTCTAATTTACATCCGTATTATGAGCATGATCAATTACAGCAATTAGTTACATAAATAAATAGAACCTGACAATAATTAGTTACTGTAAGAACATAAGAAAATAATTTGAATTTCCTATGTGCAAATACACAATCAAAAAGTACATTTACGGTAGATAAAACAGGAAAAAGTAAAATTTTAAAAGGGTTTAAACAATTCACACACTCAAATGAAACTTGGTTGTAATTCAAAGAAAATGCGCATGCCCTTACGTGTTACCCATTTTATTGTCATTTATTTTCACCTAGAGATATACTCATCTTGAATGTTAAAAGTAGTTAAAAAGAGATATTTATTTATCGTAACCTTATACCGTAAGGTTGATTATTAGTTTATGTAACTACAAACGTATTAACTAAAAAAGAAATAACAAAGAATTATGTACCATTAGACCGGTAAATACTCAAGAGGAAAACGAATATCCGCACGGAGAAAATGAAAAATGAAAATCTACCTAAATATTAAACCGATATTTACAATTTATCCATTAGCCGGTTGCTTCGTAAGCGAAAATAATAAAAATTACAATTTGTATCCGAATTTGTAAATATCAAATTCCAGCAGAAATAAATTTACTAGGTACTTTAGTTGATATTATAAATGTAAATGTAATAATTAAGATAATTTTTAAAGAAACATATCAAAATTGAGATAATTACAAGTTATCTAATAAATTCTACTATTTCTACAGCAAATGCAGTCATTTACAATCAAAAATTGTAATTTTTGCGTTATCATAAAAATTTAGTTTTCTCCGTGGCGATATGTCGTAATTTTTCTTTTTAATAACAGTAACAGGATTCACATTTAAGATTATTTTATCTTGAATAATTAAGCAACAATATTTACGAAAAGTTTGTTGTTAAAGAGCAAAACAGAGATTTGAAACAGTTACGTCAAACTAAAGGCTTAATTTTTAGTTGAAGGAAGATCTCAATGCAAACCAGTGTCATTAAGTGTTTTGCCCAAAGCTAATAACTGCAAATCTCTAATAAGTGTAAAGTAATCTTAAATTTGCTTCCGTAATACACATTTCCTTGTTTCAGGGATGCAAAATATATTAAAGTTTAAATTTTTAAAATCTAGAAGGTTTTATAAGCTAAAACCTTGCGTCTGTTAAGTCACAAGGATTTCCTGAGTTCACTAATCGCAAGTTGCGCCTATTGTTTCCTTTTTCTTTGCATTGTAAAGTATTGTTTAGTAAAGCGGATAAATCTGTATTGTTGTCACAACCTTGAGGTAAATCGTTTTGTTATACAGGTGTTTCTTTCAATAACCTGAATCATACTACAGGAACAAATGGAAAATCGGCACTTTCAATGAAAGTTACACATATTTTAACCAATGAATCAGTGACGGATGGGATTCAATTTAGCTACTCTAGAATATAAATATTTCCGTACTCCTTGTTATTGAATTATAATGTAAGATTTTTAAACTTTTAAATCAAACCACTTCACCACAAATTACATTCTTGTAATTAGTCTTTACTTGCTATATCTGACTAAATTGCAATTTGAGAACCGAACATATAGGAATATTTCAATATTATATGTAATTTAACAAAAGGCGGCATCATCTGTTGAAAAATATAACGTAATACTGAAAGATTATTACAAATACCTTTTCTTTCAAATAATAAAGTAGCATAATGCATTTAAATCTTTTGGAGGGAGTTACGTTAACTTTAAACATTAGTTACTTTCTAGAAATGGTGGTAATATTATCAAATAGACGCGGTTGAAAAAATATATTATTCAATTTTATAAAATTATGCATTTTCGAAAAAAGAAATGCCTACAAATAAATGCATAATTTCTGCTATAGAAATTATGTAGGTTGTTCATATAAAATAGTTGTTAATTAATCAATTAAACAATTGTAAATTTATCTAAATTTTTTAAATACACAAATGTATACCTCATCTTTTGTACACTTTTACCTTCAAATTTTTACGAAAAGGATAAATTTCAGACTCATGACAGATTTAATAATATACTTTCATAAATAATGACATAGGAAATCATTAATAGGTATATGAAGAATTTTATAAAGTAAAGTAATTATACAATGAAATTTCTATCCATATTTATCAGCCATGAAATAAAGTCTAATTAACTGTGCTTCTTGATGAAATTAATCCAAAAATTAACATTTACATATAGTTATGTAAATTATTTACGTCACTACTGTATATATTCGGATGCATTATATTTCGAATTTGCATATTAAGGAAAATGAATATTGTTTTGGATGATTATAATCACTAACAATAATAACAAATAAGATCAATAGGTTATTGTAACAGTAATAACTATAAATAATAGGGCAATAGTAAATTCGGCCGGTCATTACGACAAGTACTCTTAAGTCAAAATGTAAATTCGATCCAAAAAAATACTTTTAGATGTTTGTTGAAAAGAACACTTTCCTTCTACATATTACTTTAAACATTAGTTATTGAAATAAAATTAATATTAAACTACAACAAAGCAATGTATTATCAAAGAACGTGGCAGTTTCTTTTAGTAATTCTATCGTGGTTAAAAAGCCTCACTTTAACTTATTTTTATAGTTTTGAAACGTTTTATTTTTTATTAAATTATAAAATCACTTACCTGATGCATCGCTAGTTATCTTTTACCACTTTTCAACGATTTTGCCATCCGCACCAATGGCGTGGTTTTTATCTGTTCCGCCGTCGATAACAACCCTGTCGGTTATATCCGGAACTTCTTTATCCTTCTTTTTATTGTTCTTTCCATCTTTATTAATCCTTTTGAAATCGTCTTCAAAAATCATTTGGTCAGAATCTATTTCTTTACTTGTTGTTTCCGAAATTGATTCAGTGGTAGTTTCGTTTTCTTTTCCTTTTTCAATTTCTGACATGTTTCTATAATAGTTCACTGATTCAGCGGGCACAGAGGTGTTACTAACCGTTTCTGTAATATACTCCAAATGTGGAGGTATGGTTAAATAACTCGTTAAGAAACAGAGGAAAAGCATATTCAAGGTCGTTTAATATTTCGTTGACCACAACCGGTTAAAGCGTGGGAATAACTGACTAAAGATAAACAAGAATTAAAGTATATACTTGTACCTACCCATTATGACCACTGCGAAATGCGAATATAATTTGCAATTTCGGAAGTTGTGGAGAGTTGAGAGATAAGAAACCCTTTTCCGATACCAAACAAAATTTGAACAACAATTATTGATACATTACCGAACTTCTCCTTTTATAAGTATATTTATAAGGATGTTGCTTAATAGAAACAGCACTAATAAGTTAAATAAACAGTAAGTACGTATTTTCCAATAAGGAACAAAATACCGTATGTATAGCACGAAGTACGTCAAGTATTTATTGGAAAATTTTATTGTTAGATTACTTAAAAAAAAGGTGTACATCCTATGTTTGGAATGAATTTCACAATCATTTATTTATTTATATATACTGAATTGATTCACACTACTTCCCTAGGATCCTCTTTATCAGGATAAAAACATGACTCATTAATAAATGATTGATTTTAAAATTGTAAATACATAACTACAGTTAAACCTTGCGAAATTAGTGAAGGTCCTTTTCATGATTTCCCGAGTAAAAATACAAAGAATTATAACAGCACCGAATCGCCTCCAAATATCTGAAATGACCACCGAAATAGTTCCTACAAATTAGACGGAAATTTAAATTCTAAAATTATAGCCAAAACACTACCCTTTCAAACTCTAAAACACGTCCAAACTAGCACCACATTAAAAAAGATCCGAAAGAGCCCTCAAACATCGCCTCATCAAATAACATACTATAATAGCTCCAAACCAGCATCACATACAAAATCATATAAAACAGCACCAAAACGTACCCAATAAAAAATTTAAAATATTTATTAATTAATACCAATTTATCCATCAGATATTTAAAATTTTATTAATTAATGTTAACACATATATACAGTTACAGATGATTATTTTTTTTAAAAAAAAGTTATGTGTTCAGATCTATGATTACATACGTTCATTTTTACTAGCTCTCAAAGATATACTTTTTTAAATCTTTTTATTTAAATGTTAAATTTTAGTATCCCTTTAGTACTGTTTCGGCGCTTTTTTAGTATAAATGCGTCGCTGTTTTGATGGTATTTCAGTAGCTTTCTGGAAAGCAATAGGTGCTGTATCCGTGTTATTTTCGTACTAAATGCGGGACTGTTTCAGTACTCCATTCGTACACAATCGGCGGTTTAGTCCTGCAAACTGACCTTTTCCGGTAATATTTTAGAGAAATTTATGGAGCTGGTTTGGTCGTAATTCGATAGAATAAAATTGAAAAGAATAATTTTTACTCAGATTACTGTTAAAAATTAGGGGAGAATATTAATTAGAAATAAGAATTGACTGTATTACAACCCTTTTTATGTCCCTTTATATGCTCTAATTAAAAATTAAAGTATAATATTGTCACTAATTTATTTACTCGAATTGCTAATGCTAAAAATACATATACATTCCTTTCTTCGGACTATCTTACTAAGAGTTTTATTAATGCATACAACATTTTATCCTGCCCACCTAGCTCATTATATATATTATATTATGAAAATTAAATGAGCTTTCCCAATTCTCTTATTCAATTTGTGGTGACAGCCTTGGTCGTATGATGCCGGTTTCAACAGAAAAATCAAAATTCCGTTTTCTCCACTCAGTTGTCGACAATGTAGTTATAAAATCTCATTAAAAGTATATCTCTTGGCAATGTTTCCATTATATGTAGCCATCCATCAGAAATACCTGCATTTAAAATGCAAATACAAAATAAAAATACTTATCTTTATCTTGCTGTTTTGAGAAAAGCATTTTTTATTTTATTTAAAATACCTTTTAAAAAGTATTTTTTATTTGTAAAATGCAAAATGCCTTTTTGCCGTTTAAGTATCACCGATGAAAGATTATGTAAAATTACTCACATTGGCCACTGAAGATATTAGAACCTTAAAAAGAGGACGAAGTGACATTCCATGAATGCCTTCTAATTATTTAACTGAAGAAAGCCCAAAAATTTCAAATTCCTTGGAAATGGATAAACCAAAATATTGAATCGATATTGTTTTTTGGGTTCAATGTAATGGTCCATGGAATTTTGAAATTTAATTAATTAACTTAATTTAAATCCCTTTTTTAATTGATTGTGTAACTAATACTCTTTTCTGTCCATATCTACAGATCGTCTGACAAATGGTAGAGAACTAAAATTCAGGTTGATGGTACTGAAACAATATCTACAATGTTTGGTGGACTATATTTTTAATTTGCTGTTTTCGTCTTCACCTTGCAACATTATGCAGTTAATTTTCAAATAATGAGTGAGAGCAGCTGAAGATTTATGTGAATTCCACTGAAATAAGAATTTTTCTGCATTGTCATTCCTCTTGGATTTCATTTGCTTTTCACACCTGCAAACTTTGGAACATTACGGTCTACAGTTAATTAAGGTGAGAATACTTTATATAATTAATTTGAATTGCTCCTTATTAATCTGTTACCACCGTATCTGTTTCAGATCGACGTTGGAGAAGACAAAGATGACCCCTTAGTAAAATAGTTCTCTATCATGCATGCTCTATCTAATAGAATTCAATTTCATTTTATTCAAATTAGTTTTTTATTTTGCATGTTTTTGTTTTCGTAGTTTATTTCATTTGAATTAGTTTTTATTTTGCACGCTTATTTTTGTTCATTTTATTTGAAGTAATTGTTGATTGTAGATGCTTTTATCTTTTTTGTATGTAGTAGTAGAAATAACAAGTTTAGTAATTGTAGTATAGTCTAACCTTGCTTACCTCTTCGCTTAGCTTACTGCATATTCTTCCTAATTTGCTTTGCATTTACCCTACGAGTTCTACATGATTCAACGTTTCGTTATCGTGTGTGTTTCTTCTCACCCTTGTGGAATTAGGGAGGGCCTCCCCGAACGACTTCCCTTGGGCTTAGCTATTTAGTTGATCTTAAAAGTGTCTTATACACTTTTCGCGAGTCTACTCTAGCGTTACTTCCTTTCAGACAGGGTACAGTGGGTTATCTGGAATAGGAGCAATAGGCGACTGCCCAGCTTGCCTTGGCGAAATCTGTCCGATCTTCTCTACCAAAGCTATTAGTATTTGCCGTTAGTCCTTGTAATTGCACTATTTGCTTTTAGATTATGAAGTATTTCCTAAGAAGAACGAAGACATCATTTTCTTTTTTGCTTTTTATTGTATTTTCTTTGAAATTTCATGTTTTCCTATTTTTCTTTTACATGTATTTTGTTTATTACTTTATGACATCTTATGTTATGTAATTGTAAGTTATAATGATACTTAAAATGTTTCTAAATGGATCTTCTGGCATAGATGTTAAAATTAAATTAAATATTTGTTAACGCTTTAACAGAGGGTTAGGGGGACTTTTTTCTCCTTAATCTTGTGTTTAAACGGTAATATAACAGTTTGTAAGTAATATAAGATTTTTATTGCATATAAATGTGACTTGTTTTCTTTCTCTTACAGGTGTTTTTCTTTTTACTCTATAAACTTAATTATTTTACTGGTTTTGTAATTGTATTTACTTTTATATGTACCTAGAAACTGTTAGTTTTAAATACGTTATATATTTTATGTTAATTAACTATTAATTGAAATAAATATGTTGTAATTAGTGTAATTAATAAATATATGGGTCTAATTAATAAAATATTTAATTTAATTAGCTTTTTTACTGAATAACCTTTAAAATAGAAGTAATTTATTGAATAATTAAGCAAAAATTTTAAGTAAAAGTTGAATTTTAAAATCTTATACATA